TTTTTTTTATTTACTAGTAAATCTCTGTTCACATTAGATTTACAAACATTAAAAGTATACAGTGCATATTTATAATCTCTATATCGTTGTTTACAGGAATCCGTAAACCATGGCTTATCTCCCTTGATAACCTTAGTCTGCTTACCTGTGCCTTTATGTATGATTGTTTGGATACAATAAGGAACAATTAACTCATTTAAAATACTTGTAAAATTGTTAGCACATGCATCAATTCCGTCTTGGTCCCATTCAGTAGTATCACATGACTGTATTAGCCTATCAATGTTTTCTAGCAATAACTCACAAATTCTACTATTATTTTCTTCATTCCATCTTATACTTGTTTGTCTCTTGTCATTTAAATTGTTACTATGTTTTTCATTTTCAACTCCTTTACAATTATTACACAATGAAAAAGTAACCGGTGCGTGATCAGAAAAGGGACTAAACTCACCTGTCTTCAATGTTTTGATAAAATCAACCTTATCGTCTTGAACTAAAACGTAATCAATAAGACTAGTTCCATTTCTATTATAGAATGTTATATCTCCCTTAGGATCACCAGGATGTCTACCATTAACAATTCTAAGACCGGTTGATTTACAAACATCTAATAATTGTCTACCAAACTGATTTACATGTTTATCTACGTTAAAACGTTTGGGCATCTTCACGTCTGGTATATAATTAAAAATATTTGATAACATATCAGCAGAAAATTCTCCTATTCGATCAAATCTAATAAAATCATCAGCCTCACCAGTTCTACTATTAAAATCACCCATGACAACGATATCACCATGTGTATGGTATTTAGATACACATTCTTCTAGACATATAAATGGATCTATATCAATTTTTTTCATAAAAAGACAATTGTCAGACAATATAAAATCTGCATTTCTGACATAATCAGACATGTCCTGGTCCATACCAGATGATTACATATACAAAATACATTAAATACACCCTGTCACATTAATATTTCGTTGGGATTATATTTCGTGAAGTATTTAAGATAACTATAAAACGAAATGAGATGCCCCTCTTTAGAATAAAAGTCAGACCTTACTTTTTACAGTATT